GAGCTAGTGTAGACATACCCTAAGAGAGTAAGCCTGCAATGACTTGGCTTATGATAAGCCTTTTGTGTAGCTGGAGTTGTGTACTTTAAGCTGACCTTCCTAGTCTAATGTAGAGTAGGCCTAAGTGTATAAAGACAACAGTCATGATACATTTTTCAATTAGTAAATTTATTTCTTTTCACGATTGCTAGCTTTCGTGACAGAATTCTTTAGCAAAGCAGACATTTTTTCTGCCTCTGTAGTCCTTGGAATTTGGTCACAAAATACATTTTTTTGCTACAGTTATTTTTCCATTAGGGATTCCTTGCAATATACTGGACCATCAGAGGATACTGTGTCAGTAGTTTACTCTCCTCCTCTACTACCCATTATCCAGATGGAGCATGTATCTACTAAGTTTTCATCATCTTAGACTTGAGATTTGCAGTTGTTAAGATGCCGCTTACTCCCTCATGAATCACATTGCTACACTGTGACTTTATAATTGCATGGCAAGTCATGTTAAATGCAGATGTTGCCTAACCCATAGGGGATTGCTCAGAGGAAAAAAATTAAAGCATAGAATTTAATAAGAGCACATATAAAGAGTTTTATATAGGGCAGCGAAAGAAGTGACTTAAGTCTTCAAGCAGAACACCTCACACATTGTTCATGAATCATCAAGTACTAGAACAGTTTGGTCATACTTCAAATAAAAGACACTGATTAAGATAAAGGTCACACTCATTACCAAAGGAAGTGGTTACCTATTTTATTTAAAAAACAAAAAAACTGAGTTCTAGTGAGAGAGGTTTTTAATTTAAAAGGTGATTAAGAAGAAGTATGGTGTGCTATTAATTTTTTTCCCTTTAATTGCAGATTATAGTCTTCATTTTGAACTAAATGTCATCTCCACACATTTTGCAGTGTCTAAAACTGGATTAACAGCACCCAGTTTAAATCTGGCTCTTTCTTGCATGCTCTGAAAGCAAACTAATGTGGTAGAATTTCTAGTTTCCACGTGTCTATTTTATTAATTTGTTACAGTGTATTACAGAATGAATAATCTTGCAAATGGGTTTGACTCCAGCCATCAATCAGTACTTGTATATTTCAGCAGACAGTGTCAGACACAAATGTAAAGATAGGCTAAATTTAGTAGGATAAGAAAATATATGGATAAATTACATTTTGCAAAGAGATTTTAAAAGAGGTAAATTGACCCCAAGCATTTCTTGCAGTATGTTAAAGCTATGCATAGAGTGATGCTAAATACTAAAATTGAAAACGACCTAGAACAGAGTAGGCAGTTTTGTGAAATTCTAAATATACTAAAGAGTATTATTAGCTGTTCTATAATTAGCCTATCCATCTTCCTGTATTATCCCCAATCCTGCAGATACTTACTATACTTCCTCATACGATAGTCAGATGAGGAAAGTTACACACTTGCACAGGTATTTCCTGGATGGAGTAATTCAGGTCATATCCTTGCTCTAAGAGAGTCAGTGAAAGTTTTTGCATTTTTTCTAGCATAATTATTGTAGTATCTAAGGATTCCCCATATCTGCATAGCAACAAGAAATGTATGAGTAACTGATAATTTAGGTGACCAAATCAAAGAATATATAAAAGCTATTCTTTCCACGTTACCCTAACACCAAATTTTTTGAATTTTTTGGTGAAGATGGTGAAAAAGTGAATTTTGAGTCAGATGAAATGTTGTATTAGAAATGTAATGAAATGTTTCATTTCATTTCCAAGTTGTTTAGTTTTTAACATTTTTAATACAATTGAAGTAAAATTCAAAATAAAAGGTTCCTTTCTAAAATGTCACAGCAAACTGTTTAAACTCTTTCAGAATTCTGAGGTTCCTTTTGCAACCGAGGGTATGTCTAGACTGCAGGCTTCTTTCGGAAGAAGCTTTTCCGGAAGAGATCTTCAAAAAAAACTTACTCCAAAAGAGAGCGTCTACACAGCAAAAGCGCATAGAAAAAGCAATCTGCTTTTTTGAAAGAGAGCGTCCACACTGAATGGACACTATCTCACATTTCAGCTGTGATTACTATGGATGGAGGGGCCACCAGGGCACCCGTGCTTTTTCCTCTTTCCTCTTCTTTTGAAAGAACTCCCTCTTCCCCATCCACACACGCCTTTTTCCAAAAGAGCTCTTTCAGAAAAAGGCTTCTCCATTGTAGAAAGGAGTTTACCAATGTCGGGAAAGCCCCTCTGTTCTTTCAGTTTTTTTCCGAAAGAATGCAATTTCAGTGTGGATATAAGTGAAGTTTTTTAGGAAAAATGGCCATTTTTCAAAAAAACCTCTGCAGTGTAAATATATCCTGAAAGAATTTGGTGACTTCTTCAGAAATTAGCAAAATGCTTGGACGAAATCTGCATTTAGTTCAAAATGTTTGCCCTGCTCTTATCTTGAGTTCCCTTTTAGACCTCAGAAAATTTTCTCTCTTCTTCCTTTTGTGGCAATCAGAAACTTTTTTTTTAGATGTACACTTTTGTTTCTACCGGTGAATTCTGAATTTTTGAACACTTGTCTTTTGACTATTAACAAGTCCCACTCTGCTTAAGTTCACTATATTGCTCATACTTTGTATATGTGTGCTCTCTAGACTCTTTTCCCATCTCCCTTTGATTGCATGTCACTTAAATGAAACATATGAAACCCATAGGGCTGGTATGAAAAAAGTCCATATTATATATGATATAGTTGGGTTGCCTCATATTTGACAGCACAGCTCTATCTTCGGATACATGAACACAGCTTCATTTGTTTTCAGTAAGAGTTCTCACATGTGTGAGAACAGAAAAAAAAACCCAGAAATTCTGAAATGTATGTAAGACTTTGTATACAAGTAGGTTTAGTCCATATCAGAGATGTTACGTTTTAGTTTGCCTTAGGGTATTATACAGTGCATCAGCAGATAGTGCATAAGTTCCCTAGTGCACACTGATGTAATACTGTTGGAAAGCGGACTATATTAACTTACACTAGGGAATTTCTGTTGTGCACCAGCAGCATCCGCATAGGCCAGTTAGTGTGTAAAACATTTGTGCTGATCAGTTACACCCCTCTGGTGCAGATAAGACCTTAAATAAGGATATCCTTATGTCAGCAACCGTTCAGGAGTTATTCCATGTTTGCTACACCCAAATTATCCCACCTCATGTCTAACTATGTAATATTAACTCTCAGGATTTAACAGTCTGTCTGCACATAATTTTTGTCCTGATTTAACTAAGTTAATTTAAAAATAATAATGATTGAGGTAAATTGGTGCAACCTCATAAAGTAGTCACAGTTATACCCATATAAGATGTTTTGATATTATTATAGCGTGCTTTGAAATCCCTGAACAAACACTTTTCTCTTGGTATAACTGCATCCACGTTAGGGGATTACAAACTGAATGTAAAACTGTGCCACAACCAAACCCTACTTGTGAAGTGACTTTAGACTAAGGCTTTCAACAGAGGACCTGGCAAATGTTTGTCTTACTCAAAAAGAGTAATGAGAATGGATTCAGGACATAATAAGATGTTGTCCTCTCTAAAGTAGTGCCCATGGGAATGATTGGAAGAGTCAAATCACTCTGAGCAAAAATAAAAAGGAAGAGCAGCATTGTGACCAGAGTTTACAATACCACCCCCTCTCCAAAATCTCTGTTGTAAATAGAGTCTGACAACTGATCCCCTGGAAGAAATATGCAGCTTCTCCAGAAGGAATTACTTCTCTGGCATCTCCATTTTCTATATTATTGCGATACTACAAAATGACCATGCATTCAATATCCAGTTCCTTTAATTTAGACTAAAACTCATGAGAATAGAAGTCGGTTTTAATCTTGAAGAAGGAAGCCATCTCCCCTGAAGATTAGCACCACAAAAGTTTTTTGAAAGTTCCTGCCTGTGAAGTCTTGTGTGGAGGAGGGGGCAACATTCCAAATCTGCAAAGTTACAAACTTGATTCCAGAAATGTCCAAGATTTCTGAGTATCTCTGACCACTCTTAGTAGAAAGATTTCTGGGTATTTTTCTTTTTAGCCATAAAAGGATAAAAGGCCTAGAAAATGAGTCATCAACATTTTAAAGCGCACTAACATTGTCACCAAAATGTATGTTTCAAATATGTTCCCATCAATTCACTTAAAACCATGTGGATTAATTTATCCACTTAAAGAGCTGAGAAAATCCCATGTAAAACACTCACTATTGCTCCATGCCTCAAGATGTTCTTAAACAAGTGGGGTTGCTAATTACTGATGTTCAGCAGAGGGCAGAATTTCCTACGTTATAAACACCCCATTTGTCATTAAAGATGTTTACTTAAAATGTGAGATTTACAGAGTAACAATGGCTGTAGTGATAAAAACAATAACTTGCCATTATTAGTATATTGCTTTCTTTCTCCCATTAAATCATTGATAAAATGTAATATCAGCAAATATTAACACCAAGCTTCCCAAGACTCTCAGCTTATCTTGTTTAAAGAGAAACGTGTAAACATTTTGTTGATAAGACTAGGGGAAATATAACTTCCTGTCTGCCTAAAAGCTAGTTTGGGACACTTAGTATAAACTTTGAGATCAAGGCCTTATGCAGTTTCCATGTGGCTACTAATGAAGGGAAGGTATAATTGCTGGGTTGATTATAGAATGAGGCAAAGAGAACAAACTAATGTATTAGTAGTATTACTTTTTCCACATTTCTAAAAGGGTTCTGACAGAATCATGTGCAGAAAGGACAATTCTGTTTAAAGGAAAGAAATGCATTTTAACACAGGAATCTCATATATATATATATATATATCTCAGCAGGTTTTTCAGCTCACAGAACATGTTTGAGCATCGTAGTGCTGCACATTATGCTAATTAAATAACACTGAAAATGTACATTGCATCTAACCAATATTCACCTAGCAACTGTAAATCATTTGGCATTGGATCTTTGTGCACATAAAACATAGTATGCGTAATGTTTACTTAAAAAAAAATTTTTTTTGCATGCTAGTATGAAGAAGGAAAAAAGCGAAGAAAACCCAACTACAGCAGTGTTGATCTTTCTGAGGTTGAGTGGGAAGACAGAGATGATGTGGTAAGTGATTTGTTTTAAGGCCCTGTCAGAAGACATTGTTGTACCCCACTACTGTACCTGATAGCTGTTCAAGTACCACTTACCTGCTCCAGAGATGGTAGTCTTTTTTTACTTAATTTAGAATTTTATTTACCCTCCTGTTTTGTATTAATTCTTTCTTTCACATAGGTATATTTCTCCCTCTCTTTGTATTGCCTATCTTGTTCCATGCATTCCATTACAAACCTAAGTGGCACTGTGCTGGTCATTAGGAATCAGTACATCCCGTTATCAAATCTAACTGAGAAATCTGGACCAGATTTTACTGCTCTACCTCTTGGGAGGTGTTCTCTTGACTCCTACAAACAAAACTAACTTAAAAAACCAACAAACAAAAACAGATGCCAGAGGCTGTGCTCAGATCACAGAAGCTAGAATTGAGCCCCTATCAATGATTTAATCCTAAAACCTAATTTCAGATTTGAAGAACATCATACAAGTCATTTCCTTTTGTCCTTACCTGATGCTATGTACAATATCTCTCCAAACATTACCAATATTTCTCTATCCATTCTGTAGTTTAGCTTGGGTATATCTACACTGCACCATAGTTTGAAATAAGATACACAATTTGATCTACACAAATAACATATCTTATTTCGATGTTATTTTGAAATAGCTTATTTTGAAATTTGGCACTATTTACACAGCACTTATTTCAAACTAAATCAGTATTCTAAAACATCCCTTTCTCCTCGTAGAAGGAGGTTTACAGCGATGTCGGAATAGTGAGCCTATTGTATTTCGAAATAGCGGGTGTGTTCAAAAGATGTAGAATACCTCCAGTATCCCAAAATAGTGCTGCAGTGTAGACATAGCCTTTCTGTACCATTCTTAGTTACCTTGCAGGCTTAGTTTTTTTCTGCAATACTGTATCAAAAGCTTTCCTTATGTGTATGTCTATGGTTTAACCTTTGCATGGTCCTTCTGTTACTTCCTCAATAAATCTGATTTGTTAGGCATGGTTTGTTTCGCGTGAATCCATGCTGACTGTCCTTAATTAAATCGTAACTTTCCAGGTGCTCCCCTTTTTGTCCCTGTTACTTAGTTTTTCTCATAATTTCCCCATTGCCATAGATCTTTCCTAGATCCCTTCTCAAATATCAGTAGCTTCTCTTGAGTCCTTCAAACTTCTGGTTTCTAGAGAGGTTTTGAATGCACCCACTGAAGAGTCTCATATTTATTTTGTCTTGCACTTCAAAAATCTGGAATGAATCACATACCCCGTCTCAGGACTTTTGTCAGACTTCGGATGTACTAATTTTTTATCCCTTTTCTGACAAAAGTCTATATTCTCTTTTCTTGGTTGCAAAATATATATCAAGTTTCTGCCACTGCCCATCCCCTCCTTTTCTGAATAATGATAATTCATACATGTTTAGCAATATCTTGCTTTCCTGTTGATAGTTTGCATTGGCTATCAAAAGCCTATACTGTCTCCATATTTGAGTTTTCATGCTGACTTTATGTGAAACTTATTTCTTACATCACCTGGTGTATTCTCCTTTGCCTTCAATATGTAGATTTCCTCTTCATGTTTTCATAGTATCAAAATGTTGTGTAATCTTAAATACTTCATGTTTTCTACCTTGACTTTTTTTTTCTTCTTCTTCATTAAATATCATCCTACCTAATTTATCTACAGTGAACTGTTTTAAAAATGTATTCCTAATGTACAAGTTTTGTTAGTAGAATGCACGTGCATCCTTTAGACCTTCATGAATTTGTCTTTTTTTTACTATTTTCCTTTTGTCTTTTATTCCTTTTTGATTCCACCCAGTATTTCCTGCATCATTCTATAATTTCTTCTTCTTGGTTTACCAAGGGGCTGTGCCCCCTGCTTGTTACACTTGCCAACCCCCCCTCTGTCCACCACAGCCGGATAATGGCCCTCCCCTCCTACCCATGCAGCAGGAGGAGGGGGCTGCCACCAGCCCTTCCTACAGCCAAATCGGAGCTGGACAGGCAGCCTGCCCCAGGATTGGGGCCAGGGACAGGATGCTCTGGCCAAATGGGGGCTGTGCCCTGATTGTGTAGAGTGTCTGGCTGGGGAGAGGGGACAGGATTAGGAGAGGGTGCAGAAACAGGCTGGGAGCAGGGTATCTGGCCAGCGGGGAGGGAGCAGGATTGGTCTGGGTACAGGGTGTCTGGCTGGGGAAAAAGGGGTAGAGGCAGGGGATGGTGCAGGGTCTCGATAGGGAGGAAGTGCGTGAGGCCCTGTGGGTGCAGGGTCTCGGCATGAGGGGCTGGGGAAGTACTTACTTGTTTTGCATGGCATGACCCCCATGGGCACTGCAGCGGAGGCTTTTGCATAGTACTTCACCCAGCAGAGTGCAATATCAATATATCAACAAAACAAAGGTGTGGGGCCGTGGGAGGGGGGGGAGTAAGAAAGGACCTTCATTTTATCATCATTTTTACGAGGTGGAAGATGGATATGGTTTTTTATATGTTAATTTTAGGGCTTTTGTAAAACCCTACAGGGTTGGGTTTTTTCTCTTGTGGAACTCAAGCTAGTCACTTCTTTTGGAGATATGGTTCTCTTTAAATTCCAATTTAAGGAGTTAAGCTCTAGGTTAATTAGTTTCTGGATGTTTGGGGGAGTGTCAGAAGGGAATTGTCTTTTTTTTCAAGGTGAAATACTTAACTGTGTAAGGAATATTCCTTATAATCTTATACCTTTGAGTAAGATCAGAAATGTGCTGCCAACCATCATGGAGACGCACTCAGTGTGCTAATTCTTGGTAGGAAGTTGCATTGTTGCTTCTCTCGTTAGGTAATTAGGGGCTAACCTTAACTATCACTCATGCTTGTGACCATTTTCTTCCCCTTTGAAAAACAGATGCCATGAGTTAGGAAGACCTCACCTGAGTGGTATTCTTTTTTAATCAACAATACAGTAATGTAGGCTATCAGCCATGCCCTGGGCAGTACTGCCAGTTCTGCTCCCCTTTAACGTCCATGGGAACCTTTCCCTTCACTTTACTGAGCACTAGACATCACATGGTATTGAGTGCGGAGGAAGATTTGAGGTGAAAGACGAGCTGGTTTTGTGTCATTGGGAGCAGAGGGTTGGAACAGTGCTTATCACCCTGTTTATAGCTTTGAGATGCTTAGAAGTCATTATCACCACCAAAGGCTATTTTCTTGCTATTTTGGGGCCTGATTGCTCAGTCCAGAGAATTTTACATGAGTAAAACACTGCTGAGAACTATTCCATCAAGCGCGTCCCTACGCTGCCATCCCCAGCTGGGGGAGAATGAAAGGAGACAACAGCATGTGCACGTCCCCGCAAGTCAAATCTGGTGCACAGCCTCGGGGCATTCTCCCCTCCTGCCACAGGAACACAGCACTGGTGCTCTAATCTTGCGGGGGGCATGAAGCTGGAGCACCAGCGGCTGAGCTATGGGATCTGGAGCCTAGCTGCAGGAGCCCAGGAGCAAGCAACGGAGCAGGGAACTGAAGCCTCTTTCTGCCGGAGCCTGGAGCGTAGCAAGGAGCTGCTACTGCACCTTAACTGTCCTGTGGGGGAGCAAGGAGTTAGCAGAGAGTTTAATTTCCTCATTTGTGTTCTCTCTTTAATTGCAATAAGTTTCACACAACTCAGTTAGCGGTGTGCTTGTTTTGTTCAATATGAAAGGATTTCAATTCAAAGGGATTTTACCCAGTGGAACTTAGCTTGGAATCAAGGTTCCCTCTAAGTTTTTCTATCTACGGGCAAAATAAATTTTATGTGCACTACCAATAGAAACACATGCTGTCCACTGTGAGCAGCTGTGGACACTCTACTAATCAACTAGGTGACATCTGAATCTCCACTGGGCGGCCTCCCAAGCGCTCAGCTTACAGGGAACACTGCTTGGAATTCGGGTTTTGTCTGAATATATAACAAAGCCACCGCATTTCAAGATAAAACTGGCAGATGTTTCTCTATGGATCCAATTTTGGGTAGTTCTGTGAGACCCAGGAGACTTGTCATGTGACCAGCAGTCACCAAAATTTCCTTATAAAACCAAACCAAAATCTGTTTTGTGTCTGTCCAGAGACAGCAAAGAGTTTTATTTCAATTTTTGATTAAAAGTTCATGGGGCCCAAAAAAGGTTTGGACTAAACTCGGCTAGTTTTCATTTTTTAATGTTTGAACCTTGAAACAAGCAGATTTTCCCATGGTTTCAGGTTTCGAAAAAACCTAATAGTTTTCATAGTACTACTAATAGATTAAATTGAGCAATAATCTTGTGGATCAGGTCCAGGTTGGCTCCCAACATGTAATAGTAAAAACTAGATGAAAAGCAAGATGAATTAGGTTTGAGGAATACAGCATATGTGACAGGAAATACATGGGCCTGGTACAGTAGCTTTGGACTACTCATCATAACCATCCTGCATCGTATGTGGGTAGGTTGTTTGTCAGGCTGGCCAGAAGAACAGAGTGATTCTTGATGGCTTGGGGAGCGGAAGAGATGAAGTGAAACAGCTGGAAAAGGGGTCAGCTTGGTGACTGACTCATCACCCAGGAATGTCAAATGTTAAAATGTCAGCAGGCTCCCCTCTTATTCATGGAGCAGAATCGGCAGCACCCCTCTCTTCTCCCTCCCCCATTCTGGTGGCAAATATATCAGGTTATTGGCTATATCTGCTGTGGGCATTACACCGGCCACCCTTTTGAGGAGGACTGGGAAGGATTTTTTCCCCTTTCCACCATATTGGCTCAGGTGCAGTTGGAATATTTTACCCTTCCTTCAGGTGGATACTATTCATGTAGAACAGGATAGGTGGTAGGCCATAAGTCACAACTCATTATTTAAGTGTATAGTGGATATTCAGTGCAGATATTCCATGAAAGAAGCCATACAATATTGGATAAATGGCTTGGGCAAAGAACTTGAGAGGTGCTTGGAAACTGAGCAAGCTGGAGGTCATTGAAGACTCCTATGATCAGAATGGCAGGAAGGGATCTG